TACCAAATGAAAGTAGATCGGTTTAAACTAACAAGCTACATTCGGAAACCTCGAAAAATAATTAAATGTCACATCACATGAGTTTTTCGAAAATTAATCTAACAAAAAGTAATCTCAAGGATATCCCAAAGGAGATCATCCAATTATTCGCCTACAAATTTCACCTACTCAAAGTAAAAAATAGATGACATATTAATGTTATTACCTATTCCATCTAATCTTAATCTACCTACGAAAGTAATCTTTAGATCCCAAGGTAACATTTAACTGTAATTCATAAACAAACATACATTTGTGGAAAAAATTGTCACATGAAACACCAAAAAAATTCATTACATACTTCCTTGCTGAAATTTTGAATTTTAACTCAACCGTCAAAAAAACTTATTTCTATCTAAAAATAATTAGAATTTTATTTGTCTAAAACGTGTCCAAATTTGAAATTAGAAAACTAGATGTATTGAAATGACAGTGCTATACCTCGTTTCATTAAAAATGGCTGTTCCCTTGACCAGACCTGTTAAATTCAGCATTGTGCAACTTTTCTCTTTCGTGTTAGGGGCATGTATTTGAAACCCTTTCGCAAAATTTCCATCGATACAGTTGAAGGCTATCGAATGTGGCACAGCTTTTATTTTGGTAATTGATACGCAGGGTGAGGGAGGGAGAAAGAGGGAGTACTAAGTTCATAGTTCCAAAATTTCTAAGTGAATCAAGATCGAGAAAAGGAAGTATTCTAATCACTGTCCCAAACCCACTATCAAATCATATTCAACAAAATATGGAGGTACTTGTTGCATAACTTGCTATAATAAACTCATGATACATGACTTTTGATTCAAATTCCAGCGAGAATATTTCACACAGAGGGACTTGAGCCAAGTTTTGGGATACTTACCAGAGAATTTAAGATAAAATCCACATGTAGTAAGTTGACCATAACGTCAGCCCAATCGATGCCGCGATATAATTCCAGAACATAATAACTGAGCACTCAGTCTCTCCAACTTCAAACAACTGTGTTATTGTACCTGTCCATTTTGTTGAACAACAGAGTATTGACATTCAGAATAGAACTAAGAAATTTAAATTTAACTTCTAATCCATTCACTTTTTACTAGTTTGTCATCTAAAAACTCTAGCTGATAGTTTCTACCTTGAAAGTTTTATCAAATTCTTAAGAATTCTGAATGCAGCATCTCATTTTACGGAGAGCCCAAATTTGGACACATATCTATCAGAAGATTCAGAACTAAAATGAAAATGATTGGTTCCATTGTCATAATCTTTTAATAGGAATGAAACCTTACTATATGATTTATATTCTGAATGTTACTCTAAAATCCATTACCTCACTGTGCATCCAGAACAAAGCAAATCATTTAAATGCAATAAAGGTGGACTTTTACCTATGGCCAATGCCGGTGGAACTGCATACTGAAGCAGAAGAACAAAGTGATATAACGGATCTGATCCCACCATGCCAAACAATTTTGCAGCTTTAATAATCAGGACTCCAAAAAGAGGCAAGATAATAAACCTAACTACAGTTATCCCTATGATGAGCCACAAGCTCAATCTCGATCTTCTGAAACCTGAAATAAAGTGGACCTTTGAACTATTAACACCAGAAATCAATACAATGTCTTGTCATATCTGACACAGAAAAAGAAAACTTACATATAGCAAGTTAAAAATTCAAGAAAACTAGAGAGAGTTAAATTACCTCTTAGAAGATTTGCTCCCATTATCAAAGTCATGGATGGTATCGCTGCTTCCCTGGAGCAAAACAGAGAAAGTAAGTGAACCTTTTGACTTCATTTCATTTTCATGACTATCAAGACTCATGCAGTAACATGATTGCCTCGACAATAAATCCCATAAATGGGTTGCAGAGATCAAATACTTTAGCTTGTTTCAGACGATATCTTAATTTGATTATCCCTGTTCATTAGTTTTCTTTTCTTCGTATAAGACAGATAATGTTAAGTCTTAGTTGGACTAGTTAAGATGAGAATTCATATGGCAGATTATGGTAGGTAGTTATGTTTATCTTTCTTTTTATAGCTATTTGTTAACTTGTAAATACCATCTCTCTCTTTGAAATTCAAAGACAAAATAGTTAGATAAATTTTCTTTTCCTCTTCGCATTTTTGCTTTAATTACTTTTACAGTATAATTTAAACATTAGTAGAACCCACTCCGAGAATTTTTTTAAGTAGAAGATTCTATTCTACCCTTTCTGCAGCTGGTCTCTGGATATTAAGTTTGACTCTGTTCTAATCTAAATGCAATTCTTTGCTTTTCTTCACCACTTCTGTCTCCCCAGACCAGTCGCGCCAAAATAAAGGTCCCTTTCTCTGAGTTAGCAGTCATTCTTTTTTCAAAATATCCATTCATCATTTTGATTGTTCAAAACTAGACATATATGCAGCCCCAGTATGATATCTTATCAAGACAAAAAAGACCTAGGTTAGCAACATGCAATCCTCGATTAAGATTTCTAGCAGCAACAGAGCAGGAATGAATAGTAGCAACATTCATACCCCAGCAAAGAGACAGAATTTGCAATCACACGCAGAGGAGCATTATCACCAACCATAAAATGATGAATTGGTGTGACAAATCCAATGGTAAGGCCAACAATCTGCAAAAAGAAGAAAAAAAAAAATTTAGTAAGAAACCTACCCAAATAGTTCCAGGGAGGAGCACCTCTGTCGCATAATTGTACAACTGTGTAAATATGAATCACTCTAATCATTTTTTGATTTAGATTTCTTATGTCAACAATTTTAAACATCACATTACTAATGATATTTATGAGTTATATTACCTGCGTCAAGTAGGGAAAATGACTTGATAAATTTCCAGGAAAAAGTCCATTCGAAGGTCTAAGACACATTACAGAACTCTGGAAGCTTATTTTCAGAAGTCTGAAACTGGATTTAAACATATCAACGATTGCTTAAGGAGACTTGCTATACCTGAACTACTTTTATGGTTTGCTAAAAATTGTGAGCATGTTTCAACTTATTTAGGACATTACAACTATTTTCTTGAGAAATTTTGTATTTAGATGTACAAGATGTGTTCCAGGCTTGCGGAACCTAATTTCATGCTTAGTTATCTGAGAAATCAGAAGTCTGAAAAATGATATCAGACTTGTGAGACTTTATGTAGCAAAGTATAATCCATGATTGTAGATGACTGAAACTCATTGAACATATTTGTTTACTATACATGTTTCCGTGTCGGTGCTGGCTCTAAATCTAAAAGCTTTCTGGTATACAAATATTCATAACCTTTCAAATTCCAAACATAATGATTGGATAGGACATTTTTCAGCTAATAGTAAATTTTCTTGCACAAATAACCTTATCCCCAGAATTAAGTACTTTGTTTCTGAGATACAGGCCCTGTTTGGGAGGAATTAAAATTTTCTACAGTAAATCAATTCTCATTTTCAATTACACATTTTTCAATAAAATAATATTTTCCATCACATTAATAATTTTTTCTTCTTTTTTAATCACACATTTCCTATCATATCACTATTCAAAAATCAATTCTTCCGCCAAAAATCCCTNTTTTCAATTACACATTCTTCAATAAAATAATATTTTCCATCACATAAATAATTTTTTCTTCTTTTTCAACCACACATTTCCCATCATATCACTATTCAAAATCAATTCTTCCTCCAAAAATCTCTCCCAAACAAGCTAATAATCTCATGGCTTGTTTGCTAAGGCGGATTGTTCAGTACTCCACATTAGTCATTATTATGGAATAATAGAAGCTAAAATCTTGTCCAAGATATTATCCATTCCTACATAACTAGAATACCCAAATTGTCCTAGAATGAGTATTATCTTTCAAGAAGTAAACACCAAGTCTTTCAAGCAATACTGATTTTCAGCTTTAATATAAAATCCGTTCAGGAAGGACAATTATTTTAAATGGTCATATAGTAATCTGCACTGTGGGTGAATCTTACTATCAGTTGGATTTGAAGGCATTCATTGAGCACAATTGTGTGAAAATATGTTCTGTGCGCATACCTGCTCAAAAGCCATAGCAAATGTCTTTGCAGTCTGTCATTTCCAGAAAAAGTAACATAACAAGGCCATATGATCTTCCTAATACTTTAAATGACAACAAATCGAAAACATTCTTTTGTGGGGCCAAGGGCATGAGAATAGTAAACTCATGCTAAAAAAATCTAGATATTATGGTTACAAACATCCTTGTGCATTTATTTGCTACTTTTTCTTCCAACTTCAATAACATTATATTCATAGAAATGGCTTACTATTGACCGATGCAATGGAACTCTTCAACTAAAAGAATAATATGACTATATTTACTTATCATGCTGGAGTGACTGCTGTAATTAAATTTAGCATTGTACAATACCGTTGCAATGGTTGGAGGTCTCAAAAGGATCGTCAAGTCAACAATTCTCAACAACTTATTCACCTGCAGATTTATCTTCTTAAATATTGTGACCTGTAAACGGTATAAATTAATGGCGTACTTAAAAACTTAGTAAGAGAAATCACATCGAAATTAAAGGTAAAAAAAAAACATATTCTGCACAAAAAACAGAAGTTTTTGATTTCTTAAATATATACAATATTCTCCTAACGTTACCGGCCAATTAAAATAAATAAATAAAGAGAGAACTATTATGGTTTGCTACATCTTATATCAGTGAATTCTGAGTCCACAGGTCAGTTGTCTGAGATATTTGCCAAGGAACATACATGTTTGGAAGTTGAAATTAGAACATAAATGATTATGTCATCTTGGCTTCCATGCATGTATATTATGGTCTGGTTTTATAGACTCTCTAGGCTCATCTAAATGGGCAAGTGTGACATCTGGTAGCCATAGAGAAGAAACAATTGCATGCAGGCTCCGTGGATTCAATGGTATAATCTTGATGGACAAGGACATGTATGGTGGCAAGGAATACTAGGAAAAATGAGTAAGAGCAAGATATTTGTCGTGATAGGCCACTTGCACTCTTCATGGCATCGCTGCAGCCCCTGATAGACCGCTGAATAAAGGCAGTGTTCTTAGAAGAGGGGTTTTAGAGTAGAGTTTCCATTTAAGGAAGAGTTCCATGTGACAGGGAGGTCATTCAGGTTTGTTAAAAAGCGCAAAGGAAAACCAAGGGAAAATATGACAAGAATGACATGGATGAACCCACATTTCAAGGTTTTAAGCCTTTGGGATAAAATTCACGGACGTCACATTCATTTCTAATTTGATAGACTCTTGTCGCTAGCCCAACAATCATTGCATCAATTCGTAGTTGTCAAAACCACAGCAGTAGAGGCACATTTCTCTGATGGGGTAAAGAAACCAGTATATTTTGAAGGAAGTTGACAGATGTGGTCGTTCTTATGATTGGCCACTTTGGACAATCAGGAAAAAAAAAATGGCCTTCATAATATGAAACAAAGCAACAAAAATTGATTAGAAAACCATTATCTGTTTCACCTCTACCTATTTATAGTAGACATTCAAAGATCTTGCCCACTTCCCACAGTGCATTCCTTTAAAAATTTCAACCTTCTTACCCATATATATTAGTTTTGTTTTGTTTATGCCTGCCAAAATGAACGTTTATTGTTGCCAATGTCATCAAAATATTAAGCTTACACGGGTTTGACAGAGATAAATTAGGTTCTAATCGCCACAGTCAACAAATTCCTAAGTTTCACCATCAAAAAATGTACTGGCAATTGTACACGTGCATGCACGCACACAAACAAGCTATATGCCTGAACGTCATCATAGATAGGCTAGCCACAAGTGTCTAGCAAGGAGTTAGAAACAAGAGACTTTGTCTCCTTTACTTGTTTTGTCGTTTGATGTATGAGATAATAAAATTTCTTCTTTCTATGTTTCTCTTAGTAAAAAATAAAAAGTCATGCATTGTAACAAATGTTCCAACTTTGAGTTCGTAAAACATATTAAAATGATTACTCTGCTATGAGGTCGCTTACTATTTAAAGAAGAATGCATATTAGAAAAATACACATTGCACGCATTTCACGTAAATTGTGATAAACATATTTAAAGGAAAAGAAGAAAACCTTAGTTTTGTCCTCAGAGCTTCCAAGAAGCTGCTCAACTGGAGCTTCATGGACCTCATAGCATGGAATACTATTAGATAACAGAGCTTCTGTACTGCCGCCTGAGAATATTTCTGAGCCTTTATCACACTGCTGTTCATTAATTGTCGAGTTTATCTTCATGTGAAGGTCATCCTTCCTCCCATATGCCCTTATTATGTTATAAACATAAGACCAAACAAAAACAGCCCCAATCTACAAGAAGCCGAGGCAAAAAGAAAGTAAACACAACATAGAAGGGAAATGAAAAATTATTTAACTAATTTCTGTGTTGCCAGGAACTGTTTAAATATAGAAAAGAAATTATTTATACGGTTTGAAGCTCTCATACAATGCAATTTAGGACTGGTGTTGATTATATATATGCTAGATGGTGAATATGTGAATATACCAGCACAAGCATCTAGGCGGTGAAAATAAGCTCATTTATACCAGACGTAGAGTAATAAATTATGTACATTACCGACATAGAGAGGGAAACATAAGTCATGCCATTTTTCAAGCAAGTAGACGAATCTCCAAATGGATTATTTTTTTCTTCACAGGTTGCTGGGATGATAATGACTGGCAAGTTTCCCAAATTACCTGTGCAGGCCAAACAGCCACAAACTAAGTAACAAATTCAAGAAACTTCGAGAACAGTTAGGGTCAATACGGATATCCTGATTCAAATCAGAATCAGATTTACATCTGATTCACAACAGGAATAAGTTTATGAATATGGTGAAATGAAACCAAGTTTGAATTCTATAATTTCGTTTATCATTAGAGGCCAATTGCTACAAACAAAGGCTCTAATAAAATTAGGATTTATGACTTATAAGGTTGCAGCATTTAGAGATGGCCATAAACTGCAGATGCCCAATTCAAAATTCTAAAGATATTCTAAGATGCTTAATGAATTATGATCATTGGATGTATTTATGGGGAGGGCCTTTAATAAATTTTCATGTCTACCCCTTGCTGTTAAGTACTCTTTACCATAAAACAGCTTTGTACACAGTACTCAACATGGCAATGGAAGAGATTTTAGCTTCTTTTTCTTCCTTAATACTATTCAAAACCGCATAATCTATCCCACCAAACAAGCCATACACATAGCGCCTTTTTCAAACAAACATTGACAAGTTAAAGTTTCTTTCGAAGAAAAATTTTTGTTGCTGTCCTTTTGGATTGTTTTATCCTTTCAAAATATAAATAATACCAATTTTGTATAACGACACAGTACGTGGTCAACCATAAAGTCATAGCTACTATATAGCTCTACATATCTCATCACAATCCCCTCTCCCCCCGCCTCCCTGGGAGGAAAATAAGAGAGAACATAATATTATCATTACTTTGTTATTATTGTTTAACAGAATTTGCAATTTCAGAAGCACTCTGCAATATGAAATGAAGAGCAAGACTTCAAGAGCAGGAGTTGTGACAGCAGCCAGTATATAAGGTGGATGATATGAACTTATAGTCAGAGTTCCACAATAATGATAAAGTAGAATCACTACCACGTGCTCTCCTTGAATAAGCAGTAGGATTTATCAATTAAAAATAATGATGTGAGGATCACAAATACATTAAGCTATAAGCTAAGAAATTGAATGAAAAATTAAAATAAAATCACCATATTGGAAAAACTTAATGTTGGGTTAAACACCTGCCGCACAGCAACCAATAACAAGGCCATGCAATTGTTTAGGAGCACCAGTGACTTTGACAAGAATCCACCCAAATGCCGAACCAATAATAAATGCAAGAAGGATACTCACTAGTGTAAACCACCTGTATTTGAGTTCAAATGTCAATTAAACAAGTTAAGGTACCAGAAGTGAACACAAAACGACCACCAAAGTTTAAAGTAACTCAAGTTAACCTACAAAGAAAGTATGCTGATCTCTGTACTTGAATTAACCAGGCCGCTAGCAATAAGTGCAGGAAAAAAGATGTAGAACACAAGCTGCTCACATTAAAGTATCATCATCAGTCTTGCCTGGACCAAAAACTTTTAATAGTTTCCTTATAATTGCTGGCACATATCCCCAGGCAAATTTAATGTCAGCAAATATCTAACAAGAATATCATAAATGATTCATTCTAGTTCAAAAACTTCAAAGAGAGACAATTTAAAAAATCTGCAACATTTTGCATTCCTAATCATAGAAGTCACCCATCTTATGCAGATTTCCTAACAAATTTGAAGATGAGGAGAGGGAGGAGGAAAATTTAACATACACGACTATAACTTTTCTGATTTGTGTCCTGATTAATCAGCAATCTAGATAAATAAATAAAAAGTAGTATCTTTAAGAATAACTAAACTAACATAGAATAGCTACTAGCTTACGTTGTTTAAATGGTGACGCGCAGCTGCACACAAGATATTGACACGATCTACGGCGAGGAAAAGGCCAATTATTGCTATGAGGAGTGTTTTGAGAACTGGCATCAGTGCCACCACAAACAATTCCCAGATTTCCATTCCGACGAGATTTACTACTCCCTCTTAACTTCAAAGGAAGGAAATTGAATTCGTTATGAAAATCAAATGTATTCTCATATAATGAAAATAAAAAAGTCCCAACCTTTAAAAGAAAATATCTATGAAGTTCCTATCAGCTCGCAGTTTCGTATTGTGGTGAACAACAAAGTCCTGAAAGCACGTCAGCTTCGTCCTACACATCAACCCTGAAATAACAGTAAAACAAACAATCATGTAACTGAAGGCAAGCCTCAGTATTTTTATATTATCACAAGGTAGAAGCACATGAGACAACAGAATAAGCCAAGCCGCGCTGCAAGATTTTTTACTGTGACATCGACCCCCAACTCAATGGAGAATGCTCGGTGAAATGGGAAATTTGGATAGCTTTGCCTCTACCATTAGGCGCCAATTCAAGATAATTTTTCTTTCCTTTTTTTTTTTTTTTTACCTGGCCCTTTTGTAATTTCCATCATGATGCCAGGTTCTTTGACACGAGTTTGATATGATGTACCAGGCATTATGTTGTGGGGCTATTTTAAACTGATCAGATTTCCTCTCAAATTATTTATGCTACCTCAAATTATGTCAAAGCTTCTACAAAAGTATTCTGGCAAAGAAGCAAAACCCAATTTCAACTTTTTGTTTCAGAAACATAACAAATAATATTACATTTTTTGTACAAATAAGTTGGGTCGATTTTTTCCTCGACCCAACATGATCATTTGATCTAAAATCAAACCAACTCAATTTAATTATTGGTTTAAACTCAACCGTTGGGTTTGGCTAGTTCAAACCCATAGTTTAGGCTTAGGCCCAATAAAAGTTGAATTCAATAACTTTTTGTTGAATTTAAACAATTTTTCCAAGTTTGAAATCAGGAGGAAATTACATAAATCCAAGTGTTTAAACTTTAAGGTGCAAAATTCTGGTGTGAAGATTTTTTAATCAAAGTTTAGATATTGAATTAATAATTAAATATTATACCCATCCAAACCCTAATTTTATTTCATTATCTCCCTTCTCTCTCTTCCTCTTCTCCCTCTTCATTTATCTCCCTTCTTTCTCTCCGACAATCGGCGACCCATTCAAACTCTGGCAATCGAAAACAAAGGAGATGTGTCGACCGACGCTACTAGCGTCAGACGCCGTTGAGAACAGCTTTCTATTTTTTGATCTGCCTTCTCTCTTCTTTTCTCTCCCTTCTCTTTCTTCGGCACTGTCGGCGCTTCGATGTGAACTTCGCTTCATCTCCCTCGCACAGCTTCTCCATCGAAGGCTGCTGAACGTCGTCGAGCAATGTCGCTGTGCACAAACTACAATGACGAATGGGGCACTGCACGGGCGAAATAGAGGCGACGCAGAGGTGTGGTGGCGATGGTTGTAGCATTTGTGTTTTGTGTTGAATGGGGTGTCTCTTCACAGTGCTCGTGTGCGCCGGCGTTAGGCGTAGCACCGACCATCGTGCGTGATACACAGCACCTCCCCCATTGTAAGCAGCAACACTCGCGCCATCGTCGTTTCTCTCTTCTTCTTTTTTTTCCTCTTCTGCATCTGTTTCTGGTTGGTATGGTGGTCGCGGTGGTGCAGTGGTTTGGGGATTTTCCATACGATGGTTGGGTTGTTTCTGTGGGTGTGGTAATGATGGAAGAAATTCCCGATTTTAGCAGGCGATGGTTGATTACAGTTATGGGTGGAGGTGGTGTGTGGTGTTGGAGCAGGAGTTTGCGGCGCGGCGACGATGTGTGTGATAGTCATGGCATCGTTTTCGAGGGCGGTGGTGGTGTTGTGTTGTTGGTGGGGAGGTGGTGGGATAGCGTTTGTAACCAATTATTTGATTAATTTGTGACCAACTATTGGTGGTGGATCGGGATCGGGGATGGGGTGTTTGGTGTATGTGACCAATTATTTGGTTTATTATGACTAACCACTAAATTGTGACCTTCAAATTCAATAATTTGTGACCAACAAATTTGAAAATATGTGACCGATAGATAACTTGTGACCTATAATTTTTTTGATTTGTAACAAATGAAAAAAATTGTGACGCATAAAATTTTTTATTTGTGACCTCAAAATAATCTATGACTACTTAATTTAATAATATGTGACCAATAAATAAGTTGTGACATATAATTATGTACATATAACCATTTATTGTATAATTATGAATTTATTATATTTAAATAATAATTATTTTTAATTAATTCACTAAATACTCGAGTTTTGCATTTTTTTAAACTTAATACTTCATTT